TGAAATTAAAACATTTAGAGAGCTTTAAAAAAAATGAAAAACACCGTGCGGGGTGGGTTGGAACACCCCTGACAGTGTTCCAACTGGCCCCATGTCAAATGTTCCAACCAGCCCCCATGACGTCATGGCCTACTTATGACACTGTATTTCTTTAACACGTGGGAAGTGATTAAAAAAAACAACAGCTTTTTGAACATCAAGGTGGTCCTAAACGCTGTGCAGAATTTCAGTGATATAATCCCTATACTTTAGTTTACAGCACGATGAATGTCAAAAATATGAAAACTTACTTCGAGTAGCGAAAATAAGTTTTTTTTCGCATAAAACTTTTACTGCATTCTCGAAACTTCCACAAGTTTACCGGATGAATGACCATGCCACGTGACATTTTTATGCTGAAGGAGCACATGTTCGGTCTTGTGATTTAAGAAATAAAGCCAATGTTCCAACTTACCCGCGTTCCAACCCACCCCGCTCTCCCCTACAGATGGTATGTATTTAATGTACAGATGGCACCCCTGAATCAACGACCCACCAAAAATTTCAGGAGGGGTAAAACAATTAATAGAGTCTTTTCCACGGTCACGTGACTTCCNTAATCGCTATGCACAATTTCAGTGATATAATCCTTATACTTAAGTTTACAGTACGATGAATGTCAAAAATATGAAAACTTACTTCGAGTAGCGAAAATAAGTTTTTTTCGCATAAAACTTTTACTGCATTTTCGAAACTTCCACAAGTTTACCGGATGAATGACCATGCCACGTGACATTTTTATGCTGAAGGAGCACATGATCGGTCTTGTGATTTAAGAAATAAAGCCAATGTTCCAACTTACCCGCGTTCCAACCCACCCCGCTCTCCCCTACATTTAGTTGGCCCCTGTAGTCAAAGTATTTACCCTCTTGGTCATTTTGTGTAGCTTAGCTGTTGAAGCATTAAAAAATGTTTGACTTTACATTTATCTTTAACCAACATATTATAAACAAACATAACATGCTGCGATGCCATTATTCACATGAATCTAAAATTAGTCTAATTATGATAATCAGACCAGCTGAACATTATCATTATTAGATTATAAGTGGTCAGTATACTGACCACAAGACATGCAGACTCCTGAAATTGTGTTCACAACTATCATTATTAATCTAGAGCTCATTGTCTTATCCGCCCCTGTCATTACATAGTGCCTGGGGGCTTGTCCACTACGCTGGTCAAGCTTTGATGTCTGGTCACTTCAAAGGGCTGATATCAGTGTTAGATCTGTTTGGCCGTCCCCTTGACCAGTTGACCATCACAGGACATAGGACATCCTAGACAGTTACACGATTTAAATCTGTTGTGTGAACATTTTTTTCTGTCTGTATCCAGACACATTGGTGTTCGGCTCAAATGAGTGGCAGTAAAAGCACGTTGCATGCTATTATCAGAGTTGCATTTATTTAATTGTCACATGATCTTGTTGATTTATAATGTTTTCTAGGCTGTTTTTAAGTCGAAACTCTCTGCATAGTGTAATGCAGTTAAATTGCTTCAGAACATTCTAAACACAAACATGTCCAGTCCTGGAGCCCCAGTGTAAATAGTATTTACATTTGTAAACGGGAAATCAATTTCAAAGTGATGATCCTTTTTTTCTAAAAAAAAGAAATTGTGGACCTTTCTGCCTCTTAAGTTGACCCAGCTAGACAAGAGAAATAAAACCTAGATTTCTCCCCCCCCCCCCCCGCCCCACTAAAAGGGTGGATTTTTTACC